TGGGGTTTTTAAGGTTGTACTGTCTTAGGTTGTGATATTAACATCATATCTTGGGGACAAAAATTGGAAAGTTTATGGTCTAATAGTGATGTTTGTGTGTCAAGTTGACAAGGGGTCAATTGTGCTGGATAGCTTTAGTGTCAACTTGACACACCTGGGTTGAGGGAGCCTCAATTGGGGAATTTCCTCTATTGGACTGGCCTATGGCCATGTCTGAAGGGTATCTTCTTGATCAGTGAAGTGGGAGGGCCCAGCCCACTGTGGGGGTGCTACCCCTGGGCAGGTGGGCCTGTGTTGCATAAGAAAGCAGGCTGAGCAGGGGCCAGGGGAACAAGCCAGTAAGCAGTGTTCCTCCATGGCCTGTGCTCCAGCTCCTGCCTCCAGGTTCCTGCCCTGAGTTCCTACCTTGGGCTCCCTGATGAACTGTGACCCGGGAGATGTAAGATAAATAAACCCTTTCCTCCCCAAGCTGGTAGTGGTCAGAGTGTTTTGTCACAGCAATGAAGAACAAACTAAGACAATGAATGATACCATGGTGAACCTCCTCTCCCATAAAACCCAGCTGCAGCCGAACTCTTGTTTCCTCAGGACAGATTCCTAGAAGTACAGGCACTGGGTCGGAAGGACAGACTTATTCAACCAAACTGCTTTCCATGAAGGTTACATCTGTTTGCTAGTTTTGAATTTTAAAAATTTCTATGTAATTTGATAGGTAAAAAGTTCTGGCTCATTATTATTTGATGTGAATTCCATCAATTTCTGAGAAAGTTTCAGTTTTTTTTTAATAATAGCTATTTTTATAAACATGAACCAATTTCCTTTTTTTGTGAAAGAAAATTATTTTATTGCTACTTGATTATATAGATACAAGCAGTGTAGTGGTGAGGCTTAGGGGCTCTCAAGAAAATGAAAACAGACCTCACCATTGAACTATAATAATCCAATCCTGAGGTGCAGTCAATCCCTAGGACAAGGGAGGATCTGAGGTCCATCTACTGGAGACCTTTATGAACAGGTAGCCAGCTGGAGGTTGGGAGCCCTGAAAAGCATGGATCCACAGACATGTGACTTACAAACAGGGCATGGTGGTACCCATCAGTAATCTCTACACTCAGAGACAGAGGCAAGAAAATCAGTAGTTCAAGGCCAGCCATAGGCTAGGGGAATAAAAGGAAGAAAAAGAGAGCAACGTGACTTGGATCCCATTCCCTTTGTCTTCTGCTTCAGCTGTAGAAGACATAGCGCCCCCTAGACTAAGTATCCTGGAATGCAAGCCCCCACCATTCAAACCTCCTTCACAGGTCTTCAGGGTTAAGTTAGGGTTGATAACTGTGTGTACATGACCTGCTTAGCAGACACACAAATCCTACGTGATAGATGACCAGGCTGGAGTAAGGAAGACAGTGTCAAATGGCTGCAGTGGCCTTGTACAACGAGATGTTAGACAGCAAAAGTTCCTCCCATATCTAGGGTCATAGTACACTCCTGACCCTGACATTGGAAACCAGGTAAATGACCTAGGAGGACCAGAGGGACAGCATGCTGGATAGTTTTTGTTGTCAACTTGACACACCTGGTTAGAGGGAGCCTCAATTAGGGAATTGACTCTATTGGACTGGGTTGTGGCCATGTCTGTGAGATATTTTCTTGATTTTTTTGTGTAATAGGGGAAAACCCAGCCCACTGTGGGGAGTGCCACCCCTGGGCAGTTGCTCTGTATTGTATAAGGAAGCAGGCTGAGCATGGGCCAGGATAGCAAGCCAGTAAGCAGTTTTCCTCCATGGCCTGTGCTCCAGCTCCTGCCTCCATGCTCCTACCCTGAGTTCCTACTTTGGGCTCTCTGATGAACTGTGACTGGGGAGATATAAGCCAAATAACCACCCCCCAAAGTTGATATTGGTCAGGGTGTTTTGTCACAGCAATTGGAAGGATAACTAAGACAGAAAGCATCCATGTTCCTCGGGTCTGACCATTACTTCACAATTGCTCTGCAGGGGAAAACCACTTATTATCCTGGCTTCACAGAAGCTACATTTAAAGAATCTGTCAACCTCAGCCCAGGTGATCTGAACCCACTGGACACCATTTTGTTTCCAATACACTGTACAGCCAGGTGCTCTGGGTCACCTTGATGACAGAGCTGTCCCCACACTTTCATTTCTCAGTGTCCAGAAGAAACCTTTATTTCTTTACTGCCAACAACAACAAAGTTTCATCTCCATGTCATAGACACAGCAGTTGTAACACTCAGAGCAGAAATACGTAGCAAAGGAGACTGTCTTGGGATGCCTCACAGCCCTGAGTGTATCCATGAGCACACGACAATACTGAACAAGGGTCTTTGAGATAATAAGACCCACATCATCGTAGCACTCCAGAGGGGCAGGGTATAGCTCAGCCTATATGGAGGAGAAGGTCCTTCAGGACAGATGTGGAGATGTCATTGAAATTGATCTTGGTGAGATGGGGGCATTGGCTGAGGGCAGGCAGGAGGGCACTGAGCTCAGAGTCCCCCATCCTGCAGTGCTCTGATACCAGGGTCTGCAGAGTGTCTGAAACTCTCTAGGAGAAATTGGAGAGGCACAGGACATAAATTGAATAATTCAATACCTCTCAGGTTCAGGTACTTAAGCTGACTGAGGCTCTGACACAGGGACAAGGAATTCAAATTTGACTGTGAAAACCGGCAGAGAGTGATAGGGTCTCCAGGAGCCTGAACAACTGTTTTCATGTGGTCACTGAGAAAACTGACACCATCCATATAGATATGCTGGAGAGAGCTCAGTTTGGAGAACTGAGAAATGAACTTGGTGACACATTTCTTCTCTGTGTCTCTGGAAGTATTTACAATGTTGATGAAATTCTTGTGGGTCTGCTTGAGAAGAAATGTACAAAGATTTCTCATCTCACCCAGGTAGTAAAGGGCAAAATATGACAGGTTGAACAAATTCCACCCTGTATTTAGTTCCAACTCCTCGATGTACTATGGCTGGAAAACTGACGAGGCCTTCCTGACACTGTGGATGGGCAATGCCCAAATCTGCAACATCAAACAGCACAGCTGTAGGGAGCTTATTCTCTGCTGGGCCCACTGCAGCAATTTTGTTTCATAATCATAGAGATAGAAACTGAGGCAAAGGTCAGCCAACACTTTCAAACACCTCTCGAATGTGTATCTAGGAAGGTCCTTCCCTGGTTGGTTCTTAGAGCCTGTGCTGAGGAGCCACCTTCCCCCATTCCAGCCCAGCTGTTCCAGAGTTGTGATGCACATTCCGCAAATCAAGTACTGCAAGTTTCCACTTCCTGGGGCGAACCTTCTCATTAATCAGCAGATTCAATCCTTCTAGCACAGCCTGAAGGATCTTTAGGTCTTTAGTCTTCATCAGGGTTCCAAGAGGAAGATAGGAGAAGGGCCAAGCCTGGATCATTGCCGTCAGGATGTCAGTTCGTCTGACATCCTGTTTTGATCCAGTTTTGATCTCTGAGGATAGCTCTTGGAATCCTAGCAGGACCAGGCAGTGGCTCCAGGACTCTCATGAACAATTTCTTACTAGGGAATTTACTATTTTTTTTTCTTTGAGTCTCATGCATCCCAGCCTGTTCTCCTACTGTGTAGACTAGGTGACCTTGAACTTCTATTCCTTCCACCTCTACCTCCTGAGTGCCAGGTCCATAGGTGTTTACTGCTATGCCAGGTTTGTATGGTGCTAGGAACTGAATCCCAGGGCCTCATGCATGCCAGGCAAATAAATACTACACCAACTGAGCCATATGTAACCCAGACTTGACTCAAATCCAGTATAGTGCCAAGGCTGGGCTTGAACTCCCTCCCAATCCCCCTGCCCCAGCCTCCAAATTGCTGGGGGGTATAGGTATGTGCCACCATTCCTGACCTCTTTACCTGTTTTTCTATGGATTGCCTATAGTTTTCTACAATTGTAAAGGTGTTGGATGTTAATGTGCTGAGGATTCTGCCCCACCCTGACCCATCAAACATCTGTAAACACTTTCCTGGGTTTCACTTTTTAAAAAATTTTAAATTTATTTTGAATTTTTATGTGTATGTGCGTACACACCATGTGTGCACAGTGCCTGCAGAGGCCAGAAAGCATTAAGTTCCCTGGAACTGGAGTTATAGGTGGTTGTTAGCCACCATGAAGGTGCTAGGAACCAAACCCAGGTCCTCTGCAAGGGCAGCCAGTGCTCTTAACTGCTGAGTCATTTCTTCAGCCTCTTTCTTTAAAAAAAAGTGTTTTGTGACTTTTTTTTTCCCCTTTTGAGCTGGTCTTATCATGTAGGTCTGGCTGGTCTGGAACTTATAATGTAGACCAGGCTGACTTTGAACTCAGATCCACCTGCCTCTACCTCCTGAGTGCTGGGCTCCTTTGATGAGCAATTTTGTATTTTTGAAGTTTGGTGTAATTTAGGACTGGGCTTGACTGCACACAACTAAATCCAACTAATAGTTAAGTAAAAAGGGACTGATCTAGCCATGCCTTCTGCTATATACCTGTAATCCAGCTACTCAGGCAGCCAGGGCATGAGGATCAGTTCATGGCCTGCCTGAAGTACAAAGTGCGTTCAAGGCCAGTCTTAGTGAGAGCCTATTAAAAACAACATCTGGGAATTGGGTGTAAAAAAATTAAAACAACAACAAAAAAAGAATGGGGCTGTAGCTGCATGGTAGAGTGCATGTCAGCATTCACAAGGCCCTGAATTTGATTCTCAGCACCAGCATGGGGAGGGGGGCAGTGCTTCAGGCTGCAGCAGTATTAGGTAGGGTGCACAGAACTGACAAATGTTTTTGAGATGCCTGAATGACTCCCCTCTTTGCACACTCAGCAGGTTGGCTCAGGGCTCTTGGTGGTGTCTGGGGGTGGCAAGATGGTTGCTCCAACTCCGGATATTGAGCTTTGAAAAATGCTGATGCCTTTGGAGGTGAAGATACGCTTGATCCACACATCTGTATTTTTTAAAGTTCCTAGTGACTCAAATGGGTAGAGCAGATAGAGAACCATTGCTGTAGAAGTCTCTAGAATGATTTCCGAGTTTCCAGTGGGATGTTTGCGTGGGTGGTGGTAAATGGGAGGAGCTGTTTAAGGAGTGGGTAGGGAGTGTCCCGACCCGCGAGACACTCAGCGTGGGTTTCTGGAGGGAGGAAGGGGGACGGAAAGGGACAAGAGATGCGAAGAATGGAGACAAGACAGGCTTTCTGATCAAGTCTCATTTAATGAACATCTACACAAGGTTTTTATAGTGAGGAGAGGGGGAAGTTGGCAGGGACAAATCCATTGAAGTAGAGCAATTCAGTTAACAGAATGATTACCACAATAACACCACACCAATTGGTCACAGAGTAAATTCCATAGTAACACCACAATTCTATATAGCAAGTTATAAATCAATTAAGAGGTTACACTTGTATGATTACAGAGTAATACCAAAGTTTCTAGCAATTACATGAGAAAATGAGGGAGTCTCTCAGGCGTTAAGTGCCCAGGTTAGAACAACGTTTGTGAGAGGCTTTCAAGTATAGTCATCTGGTTAATCTCAAACCAGGCCAGCCTTGATGTCTGAAAAACAGCTTTGCCAGGAATCAGGTCTTGTTATTTCCTGGGGTAGGGGCCTACGGCTCCCGACAAGGGAGTGTTGATGGTTGGGGACTGAGTTAGGAATGTGTTCAGGAACACTTGGTGAAAGGTCAGCAGAAAATTCAGATAGGCCTAGAAGTCCAAGAAAGGGTTTGCACTAAACCTCAAGATTTGGCATTATGAGGAAGCCAAAGACAGTTAAAGCCAGGGTTCCCTGGAACTCACTTTGGAAAATGCTGAGAATGCACAGGATGGGTCCTCAGCTCAGTAAAGCCTTGATAGCTGCTGACAGACTTGGAGACAGGGGTGGGGTTGAGATGCTAAGAACTCGGCAGGTTTCTCCAGGTCAGTTCTTGTAGCCATGAAGTCCCAGGTCATGTAGTGGTAGTGTGGCTGGCATAAGACTGACTGTGGTGTTACCTAAGAACCAACTCTGGAGCCGGGTGTGGTGGGGCACACCTTTAATCCCAGCATTTGGGAGGCAGAAGCAGGCAGATCTCTGTGAGATGGAGGCCAGTCTCATCTACATAGAGTTGCAGGCCAGCTGTAGCTACAAGGAGACTGTCTCAAAAAAGACAAAAAACCTCTGCTGAGCAGGGAACAAAGCGCCCGGCTGTGAGAGGCAGCCTTTCAGCATGGATCACCCAGAACACGTTATGTGAGCTAGGGGCCACTTGTGGGGAAAATTCCTCTCAGAGAATGATGCCTGCAACATGGCTAGTGAGGGAAGCTAGCACTTTCTAGGCACCAAGCAGCATGCTAGCTTTATGCCTTTTCACCGAACAGAACCAGGAGGCAACTGAGTGTGACTCTGGGACCAGATAGCCTGGGTTCATCTCCCACCTCTGTTACTTACTCATGTGACTTGAGGCAAATGAGAACCTCCCTGAGCCTCATTTTCCTGCCTGCACATCTTTTATATGAGGGTTCAACAGGTTCATCTAAGGCTAGTGCTTGAGGCAGCCTGGCTGGACGGCAGTGAGCCGAGGGTCAGTGCTAGCCTTTGCTGCTGTGTCCACTTGGCAAGGTGGGAGTGTCCTGAGAAAGCAGTTGCTCAGAGGTATATGCCCTGCTGAAGGCCAGGCCAGTACAGGAATGGGACACACACGGCTGCACAATTATCATCCCCTCTGGCTAGTGGGTGCACAGGCCACCCCAACCAACACCCTGCTTCTTCTCCAGGTTGCGTCAATGATCGGAAGGAGCAGCTGAGGCAGCTGTTCAGCTCCCTTTAAATGCTGAAGAAACCTGACTGACCCTGGCTGGAAGGAACGAGGCCCTGGCCTCTCCCTGCACAATCCAGCACATACACCAGTGTTCACTGCCCTCTAGCCTGGCAAGTTTTCCTAGGTAAGCAGCCTCTGTTTACAGCTTGGAACCATCCTCCTGGATACTCCAGCCTCAGGCATCTTTGCACTAGAGACAGCCAGTCCTTGGACCTGGGCTTAGCCCAACAGATTGATTTGGTGACTGTTCCAAGGCTAAGTGCAGCAAGTCCTACCACTTGGAGACTACATCTTATAAAGCACAGGCTTCACTTGGAATTCCACCAGCACTGGCTCAGGCTGCTGCTGGCTTCAGCTGAGTACCCCTGCTTTGGTATTTTAATGTCTCTCTGGTTATGGTAAAATGGTCCCTTAGGCTAGGGAACTTGTCTATAAGCTGTGCTTGCAGTTTTAGATTATTTACTGGGGCGGTCTGAGAGAGTGCAGAGCCCTGAACACATCCTCTTCTGACCTTGCATGGACCCCAGTGACCACCATGTAAAGTCACTGAGCCAGAGCATCCCCACTTATCAGATGGACAAAATGAGAATTGGGAAGGCAAGTTTAGTGTCTCTGGAAAAATGTACCTCTCATCTGGGGCTCCACTGAGCACTTTAAATTAGAAGCCAAGCTTGGGTTGACAGGCAAGCTCATGTGGGGAGTTGGGTACATTCCTGCCTTCCCGAGGCCACCGCATGGTTTAAGAGAGGCTGCAACAAGCCTGGGATGGTAGGCAAACTGCACCATAGAGCCCTCCCACAGGGACCCAGACAGCTCCAGCTACCACCCAACCCTCCCTCTGGGCAGTCTTGGGCTATAGATGGCAGAATCTGACTGCCTAAAATAAGCCCAAAGGGGTTCTGGGAAGAAATACAATTCCACAGTCAACCAACTGATCTTGGGAAGGCTTAGAGATAAACTACTCTAGACCTCTTCCCTCCAGAGTCCAAGGATTTCCTAAGCCCACACAGCATGGACTCTAGGTTCTAAATTTCTAAAATAAGGAACTGCTCTCTGGCCTAGCACCTACCCAGGCTGGCAGGAGGAATATTCTAGTTTTATTTTTTATGTGTACAAGGGTATTGCCTGCATGTATGTGAGTGTACCTGTGTTGTGCAATGCTACAGAGGTCAGAAAAGGGTGACAGATTCCCCTGAAACTGGAGTTAAGGATGGTTCCCATCTGCCATATGGGTGCTGGGAATTGAACCTGATCCTCTGCAAGAGCAATCAGTGCCCTTAACCACTGGACGATCTCTCCAGCCCCTTCAGTGAAGGAATTGTATGGCAGGCAGACCTACCAGGTAGCAGCCAAAGTGAAATCTGGCAGTCTCCAGTTTAAATTATGTGTGTCTGTGTATGGGTATGTACAGGTGCCTGCAGAGGTCAAAAGCATTGAAGCCCCTGGAACTGAAGTTACTGGGAGTTGTGAGCCGCTAGATGTGGGTGCTGGGGACTGAACTCTGATCATCTGAAAGAACAGTATTACTCTTTAACTGCTGAGCCATCTCTTCAGTCCCACAATCTCTACTAGATGTGGCATCCTCCTTCACCCTGCAGTTTGTCCTGAGGGAATCACACAGTATCTGTGGTCAGCTCATCACACTGCTCAGCCCTTGCTGTTATCACGGTGCACATCTTGGAGCTTGTCTTAGTTCAAGGTTCAAGGGCCTCCTGTGCCCTGTGCAGCCTTCCTCTTAGTTCAAGGTTCAAGGGCCTCCTGTGCCCTGTGCAGCCTTCCTCTCTAGAGCTATGGAGTTCTAACTAGACCCCAGTAGACACACACAGATCTTGTCCTGGCCCTAACTACTTCTTAAGGCTACAACAGAGAAAACAGGAATCTTTTTAAAACCCAAAGTATAAAACTATAGGTCTGGGCCAAATTTTCCTTACATAATGTGTTTTTCTTGAACAACACAAGTTTTTAAACATTTCCTGAACCCATCAGCAATATTTAAAATAAAGATTTGGCTCAATCCAAATTTCTAGTTCACCTTGAAAAAACTCTGGTGACTATGGGCCAGGTGCAGTGAGGCGAATAGTTGGCCTCCCTACTGTTGCCATGTGTTACCTACCTGTCTAGTCCTGATAACCACTTCCAAGTCAAGAGCCACCTCCCTTCACAGGTAGTATTCTAAAAGCTCTGGGCCTTGGTGAAGGACTGAATGAGGGAAAGAGCCTCACTGAACAGAGGCCAGTTTTCCCCTCATGGCACATTCACACAGCAATCTCAGACCAGGAAGGCAGACCCTGGGTAGCACCAACCAGACTTGGCTCTCAGAGAAGGTAGAGGGTGCTCCACATTGAACAATGTTACAAAGGCCTCTGCAAGGCCTAACTTAAGAGCAACCACAGGGGTTGACAGGTAGCACCTACTCCTGAAAGCCAGCAGGGGAAAGGACAGACCTGGAGATGGTGGGGGCATGTGTTTACTTTGTCAATGGTGTGGAGCACTAAGGGGTCTGCTTCAGGTAGAAGCAAACTGTCAGTCTCCTGCTTGATGTGCTGCCTGAAAATGCCTTTCAATGCAGAAAGCTGGAATGAAGTTCCCAGTCCTCCTCTCCCTCCTTCCAGACCCATCTGAACAGCAGGCTACTGTTGAGAAGGGCCTGCTACAGTCATTCTCACACCCCCACACACCTACTGTGGGCTGCCAGGGTCTGTCAATAGGTCTTGTGTCCTCCAAGCTCTTGTGGCCAGGCCAAGCAGACAGGAACAGACTAAAGCAGCCAAGCACTACAGAAAGAGGGCTTTTGTATAGGAACCACATCCCTAATGCCTGTCCCCTTAAAAGTATAATCCTGTCCTTGCAAGTCTCAAGGCTGGAGGGACTTGGGTGCTCCATGATTACAGGGGGATGCTGGTCATAGGCCCCCCCCATCTTGCTACTTGAGTCTCATCCTTTCAAGATGACCTTAAGGGCTTTAAGCTCATCCTGGTTGAGAGGGTTCAAGTTAAAACCCTTCAGTTCCGGTTTACCTGTGAGGAAAAGACAATTTATGAACCAGCTGGGCCTCTTGCTGCCCAACCTACCACTGGCTCTGGAGCTAGGCCCAGGAAAGCAGCTAACACTGCACTAATGCTGCCAACTTGGCCTGAGATGTGCTGGGCCAGGCCTCAGATTCTGCAGTGCACAGGACAATGCACACCGACACTGCTCTTCGGCCAAGAACCTGCAAAGTCATGATTACTACTACTATCCAGAGACCTCAGATTCTGGCCAGACCTGTGACCCATCTGAGGTGCTTAAGTTTACCCAGATCTTCAGTTCTGACCTCTGAGGTCTTCTGAGATTCCCCATCCAAGCTACCCTGCTGCTCACACCATGCAAGATCATCCCAGGCAGTGCTTGGTCCCTAGAAAAGGAACTATGATAGGAACAGACCCCACAAACCCCCTCATCTACTCTCTCTGGACAGTCACAGACAACCACTGCTCACTTCCCACCGCCCCCAAGTGGCTTCCCACATCTGCCTGTTAACATTCTTTCCCTGGTTCACTCCCCTCCTGGTTTCCAGCCCCGCCAGGCCAATACCTTGAGCTTCAAAGAGGTGGTTAACTTTCACTTTCAGTTGTTTCCGGAGTTTTTCTATTTCTTTATCCAGGTGGTCCTGATCTGAAAAGTGAGGCAGAGTCACAGAATGGGGCTATTCTACACCAAGAGGGTCCACTCTCTGCCCAACACTTGGGAGCAAAGGCTGTAGCACTGAGAAGGAAAATGAGACCTCAGAGACCAGCTAAGGGCAGATTAACGCCTAGAGGGACATGATCTGCCTAAGCCCACTGAGGGCCCAGCAGGGCACCCAGTCTCAACTTCTGGTTCCTGATCTTTCTTCTGTTATTCAAAGTATGCTAGGTGGCTAGTGGATAGATTTTTACAATCCAAATACATCAAGGTGAGAGGCTTTTAGAAAAGCACAGCTGTAGAAACATGTGACCTATGCAGCCAATGAGACTGCCTACTGCTCCAGCCTAAGCTAGTTAGCCACCGTAGACAGGAAGGAGCAGCCTAACCATCACCACAGACTGCACCTGAGAAGTGGTAGTTTGATGACACAGGCACTTATCAATGCTTGATGAACCCCAGACTGTCCTGAGGGACAGTCTACCTGCGGAGTAACTGTGTGGCTAGTCTCACTTTCTGATGAGGAAAAGCTCTGACCGGCCATATCTCACAGCCTGGGCAATGGCTCTATTTCTCACAGTAAATAAGGAAATGTTACATGAGCTTGTCTAGCCTGGTGACATCCCAGAACCCCTGTAGGCATAGTGATTAGACTACATTTGTGGACCAACAGGGCCTAGTACCAAATCCTGAATTCAGAGACCCCCCTTAGCCTCTGGCCCACAACCCAGCCACCTTCACTTAACTACACCGCGTTTCAGTAGCATAGTAGCTGGAAACTTCTCCAGGCTGGTCTAGCTTCCTCTACTAGAATTTTGGTTTCAAAAAGTATAAAGACATCCTTTATGAACTGAGGCAACCTTGCTGATCCTCATGGTCCATGTTTTCAAGGATATAAAGGAGAAATGATATAGCCTGCCTTGTTCCTAGACAAGGACACTTTACACTGTTTCTTCAAAGAGTTTCTAGGATCTTGTGGCTTTGGAGACTTAAGGAGCATGCTGGTTGCCCAGATTGTGGCAGCCTAGGCTGTGGGAGCCCCCAGAGGCCTGCTTGTCTCAGCTTCCATTTTCTTGTAGTGCTGGGCATTAAACCCATGACCCTTCAAATGCTAGGAAAATGTTGCTAAGCTACACCCGGCCTCAGCCACACCTCCATGTTCAACCTGGTCTTGACTGTAAGACACATGAAAAATAAAAAGCTCACTCTGGGGCTAAGGAGTTAGAGCTGGGGCTCCTTAAGAGTGCTTGTCCTGCAAGCATGAGGACCAACTTTGAGTCTCCAAGTACCCATGTTAAAGCAGGGGTGCATGTGTCTGTCACCCCAACACTGGGGACAGAGATAGGTCCATCCTGAGAGCTCGAAGACCAGCTGAAAAGGAAGCTTCTGGTTCAGTGAAAGACCATCTGAAGGCAGTAAGGTGGAGAAGACACCTGACATCCTTTGACCTCTGCATGCACTCACCCAGCCAGCACCAGGATACTCAATGTGCATGTAACACACACACACACACACAAAGTTCACTTATCCAGGCCCTTTTCAGAGCTTTGGATGGCCTTGGCCAATAAGGTTTCGGCAGGGAGTGGCCCTATTTCCAAACAGAAAGCAAAGATCATAGGTGATTTTTTTTTTTTTTTAATTGGTCTTTTTGAGACAGGGTCTCCTATAGCTCCAGCTGTCCTGAAACTCACTATGTAGACCAGGCTGGTCTTGAACTCACAGAGATCTGCCTGCCTCTGCCTCCCGAGTGCTGGGACTAAAGGCGTACACCACCATGCCCAGCTAAAAGAAAAAACAAAACAAAAAAAAAACCCCACTGATTTTATTAATTTTATGTGTATGGCTATTTTGCCTGCATGTATAAGTGTACTGTGTGTGCAATACCCATGGAAGCAAGAAGGTGTCAGATCCTTGGAACTGGAGTTTGATGATATCTCTCTAGCAACTTACTTTGTTTTTTGGTTTTTTTGAGACTGGGTGTCCCTGTAGAGACCAACCTGGCCTCAATCTCACAGAGACCTAGCTGCCTTTGCCTCCCAAGTGTGAGAATCAAAGGCACGCACCACCAAGCCCAGCACCAAGCAACTTCTTAATAAGAAAAACAGAACCATATTTCAAGCTTAATTTGTTGAATTTTTGGTTATTTGTAACCCAACCGATTTCTCACAGATGAACAAGCACTATGCTAGACATGCAGACTGCTATCAACTGCACAACTCCGCTATGCAGATGTGTTTGTCAGATCCCTCTGCTGGCAGATGAGGAATTAGCCCTCCATGGCAGAGCAAGGATGAAAACCACGTGTCAACCCTGTAACACAGCTGTCTCTCATCAATGCCCAAAGTCTGACAGTACTGGATTATGACCCAGGTTAACGGAAAAGGTAGCCATGTCTGTGACCCATCCCCAAGAAGCCTTACCTTTCTCGATCATCTCCTTTGTCTCAGGATGAGGCATTTTGATAAACATGCTCCCAAAGCAAACCATCACATCTTCTGAAATAGAAAACAAGTCATTTCTTTAACAAGTTTTGTTTTTTCTTTTTAAAGCACTTTTAAAAATATTTTTTATGTATTATTTTTATTTTGAGTATGAGCGTATTGCCTGCATGTGTATAAGTGCACCTGTGTTGTGCAATGCTGGAGGAGGCCAGAAGAGGGCATAAGATTCTCTGAACTAGCATTTCAGACAGTTGTTAGCCACCATATGGATGCTGTGAATCAGACCTGGGTCCCTTGCAAGAGCAGCCAGTGCTCTTAACCACTGAACCATCTCTCCAGCCAGCAATTATTTTTTAAAACCACCACTGTCTATGTCTAGATGCTAAGAACCTAGCAGAACAAGATGGCGCCTTCATGGCATTTATGCTATAGCAGAGGGCAGGGAATAAACAGAGACCTTTTTTTCACACAGATAAGAACTGCAATGAAAAATAAAGCTGGTTAAGAGTAGTAAGAAACAAGCTGGTCAGTACTGGAGAAGGAAGAGGCAGGCAAAGAGAGAGGCAGATCTCTGTGAGATAGAAGCTAGCTGGGTCTACATAGTGAGTTCCAGGCCAGTTGGGGCTACAGGGAGACTATCTCCAAACAAACAAATCTAAACAAAAAAAGAGTGAAAGGAAATGTTACAGGAAATTGTTGCTTAGAATCGTAGTGCCTGGATGTCAGCAACAACCAAGAGACCAGTGTAACTCAATGAGAGATGGGGAGAAAAGGAATGATACGGGAAAGTCTGAGGGGCTGGATTATGTGGAGTCTTAAGAGGACAAACCTGGGTCTTAACAGGTGGAAGGTCTTGCACATCAGCGCTCTTCATTATCACCTGCTGCTGCCCATCTCTCCAGAGCCACCTCGTGCCCCACCCTGCTTTCGTACACTGCCACAGCCACCTGGCCCTATCTAAGGAGCCCAATCCCCTCCCTTCTAGACAGTCTCAACACCCACCCACAGCAACCCCATCTTCAGCTTTCTCACAATTTTCTATTATGCATTAACTGCCTCTTCTCATGGAGAGTGCAAGGGCAGAAGCATCACTTTTATGTGCCGCCCGCACTCCCTCAGCGCCTACTATCAATGAGGCATGAGCTAATAGCCTGTCACCAAAGTGAGCAGTTAAATCTTGAGTCATAGTATGTCAGACCCGCAACATTTGCTCTCTCCTCTCCACAAGCTGTTTTCATTTCCTATGAGGCTGAGTCATACATCTGTGGCCTTCTGCCTACTTTTTAATCAGGGACAATGAAGGCCTTCAGAAGAGGACCGAACAGGCTTTCAGGGCTGCCGTACGCATGCCACAACTTACCAGAGGCACTGAGGTCCTTCTGCAGGGCCCTGAGGCCCTCTCGGTTCTGATTCCTCTTGGTGTCCAGGTCCACAATCTGAAAACGGGAGCAGACTGGGTCTCAGCTGTCTCCTGTCCCAATCTGTCGCCTCTCTTGTCACCTCTCAACAGACAGGAAGCTGAGGAGACTAGGTATCACTTGGGGCTAAATTCCACTGTCCTGCCTAACATGAGCTGAAGTGTGAACGAATTTCTTTGCCTGCTGAGCTTCCAGATCCTCAAGACAACACTTAAGACAGGAGTCTGCTTCCAGAGTAGGTGCTAGGAAAATGTTTACTGGGAGTTATTTTGTATTATCCACTCCAACTGGAGAGTGTACCATAGTCACCAGGGAATGGAGTCTCCTCTGTAGACACTGATTAGACAGCCCTATTTCAACTATAGTTGAAAAAGCTCTTGTAGCTAATTCTGACCTAGCCTCAGCGAGGCTGGATGGAACAGCAGTGGCAGGGCACCACCATGACAGCCACTCGGGAAGTAAGGAGACAGTGAGGACTACCACTGCAGAGTGCTGGCTTAGGGAATGGAGTGCACAGGAACCCTGCTGCTTGCTTCACACTGGGCACTATTTACTCTGAAAAACAAAGACACAACCAGTAGTTACTTGGTAAGTTATGGAGCAAGAACTAAGTGAGCTAACCGTACTTGACACAGGATAGGCGCCTGCTGTATTCTGACCTGGGACAGCCTGCTGCAGTGTTTAATTGGATGGGCTCTTTCCCTAATCTCAGTGAAACACCAGGCCTTCTCATGGGAGGCCAGAGAGGGTCATGAGCCGATATGACAGCCTTCAGATACCCACTCATTCACTTCACCTGGTTCAAACCAAAATCATCTGGACCACCAAAATGGCTTCTTGCACTCTAGTAAGCAGCTAGAGGGACTCTTTTAAAAACCTAAATCCAAAACCCTTCTAGGCGGTGTACAGCTGTAATTCAGGAACTCAGGTGGCATAAGCAGGAGGATCATGGATTGTTCAAGTCCAGCCTGGGCTACTTGAGACTCGCTCTCAAAAGAAATCTAATGATACCCTCCCACCCAGAACTCCTTTCAAGGACTCAATACATTAGAACCAGGGCCAAACTCCCGGTGCGGATCTACAAGACCCTCCAAAACCAGGGCCCCGCCTTCTCTTTCCCAACGTCCTCATCTCGCCCAGCCACAGACCCCTCAGGCCCCTGTGGGTCTCTCGTCCTCTCGGGGGCCTTTATCAGGCGAGTTCTGGGAAACCGGCCAGAGCTGGAGCTCCACTAGACTACATAGGACCCAGGTTACTCCACCAGCGCCCGCGGTCCGCCGACTCCGGCCGCCACCCGGAGCTCCCCTGCGGCCGCGTCTCCCACCTGCCGCTTGTCGGACAGGACGGCCTCGGCGAGCTCCTCCACCTCCACCAGGTACCGCAGCACCCGCTCCGCCTCGGGGGACAGCATGGCGCCAAGCAGCTTGGGCCGCACCTCTGACGACCCTCTCCTAGGCGACGGTTCGGATCCTTCCGCGCACGCGCCGTGCTGACGCGACTTCCGCCGCGCCTGCGCAGTAAGAGGAAAGGCGGCGCGTAGACTCCGGCGCACGCGCAGCAGCGGGACGCCAAGGGGCAGGGCTAGCTTTGGGCGTGTGGGAGGAGCGCCTCCTGCCGGCCGAAGAGGCGCAGTCCACCGCGCTGCCTCTTACCCTCCAATCCCTGCAGGTAGTTCTTGGAGAACACACTACGTGCCAGGGAGGATGCAAGGCAGCTGCGAACGAAACGACCTTGCTCATTTCTTGGAATGTCATCCTAGTGAAAAACACTGAAAATGAATTATATGTTATTATATGTTATGGAAGGCAGCGATAAAGGGCTTTGGAGGCACAGAACTCTTTCTAACCTCTATTTAGCGAACACCCAGAAACCCACTATGGTGGTGAGATTTATATTAACCTGTGACATTTCTACTTTCCAGTTTACAAATCATGGGAAATTCCTCTCACTGACACTCTATGAGAGATGGAAAAGAAGTAGTAATCATTTTAGGTTTTGTCTGACTGTAGCCCAGTATCCACAGTAGGGACTACGATTTCCTGGAAACTGTCCACAGTGAGCATTGGAGTGCCCACATAGAATTGTGGTTCTGTTAGCTGAAAAGTGAATGGTGTGGGCCATAGGATCCTGAACTTTCCAGCGGAAGCAGAGGGACAATGGCTACCCAATAGGACTAGAGGACTGCCCAAAGCTTTCACTGTGCAGCTGCAAAGTTAGAGGCTCAGAGGAAGGTGAGGACTTGGGCCTCCTGCCTCCCAGATGCCCCTTTGTTTTTCTGTGTGGTACTAGGGCTTAGCCCATTACCTCTCCATGCTAAGCAATGAGATATATCCTTAAGTCTTTTTGCTTTATTCGTGTGTATATGTGGGTTGTATATGTGTATGATGTGTGCCTATAAGTGTGTGGGTTCTTGTGCCCATACCCATGCAGAGGCTGGAGCAGGATGTCAGATGTCTTCCTTACTTCCTTGAAACAGGATCTCTCACTGCACGAGAAGCTTGCCTTTTTGTTTAAGCTGGCCAGCCAATGAGCTCTGGGTATCTGCCTATCTCTGCTTCCCAAGGCTGAATTTACAGGTACACACAGCCATGCCTGGCTTTTTATGTAGGTACTGAGGATTGGCACTCAGCTCTTTTTTTTGGCCTTTTTGAGACAATCTTCTTGTAGCCACAGCTGTCTGAACTCATTTGATCTCACATAGATCCCACTGCCTCTGCCTCCCAAGTGCTGGAATTAAAGGTGTGCACCACCACACAGAAATATCAGATCTTATTCTTACAGAGGGAGCACTCTTACCCACCAAGACACCTCTGTAGCCCCCAAACCCAGCTCCCATGTTTACGTTTTATTCTCCCTTTTTGGCTCCTGGTCATTTAGCCTTTTCACACACTTTGCTTTTCTTAAATTTCAGAGCCACTTTTGTATAGATAGGATTATTACTGCTTGGTTTTGCAGTTGCAGGCTAAGGCCAGAAGGGCAGGTTGGGCACAATCTGAGTCTAGAGGGGCTCTGGTCTGCATCCCACAGCTGTCTCTGGACCGCCCTAAGAAGCCCAGAAGCACCTTCTCTTTGCCTGGATTTGGGCTCTGTTCAACGCCCAGAGTCAGAGCTAATTTTCTCTGCAGCTGCCTGGTGTGGGGAGGGAGGGAGCTTCATTAAGGATTCCTCATGGAGGGTGAATTTGTCGCCAAACCTAGGATGTTTTGTGTAAACACCTTCTGGTTCAAAAATGCAGGCACGAGCCGTGTGAAGGAAGTGGGAATGTGTGCCAAAGGAGAAATAAGCCTTACCAGGCATCCCTGAGGGCTGGATCCCAGCCCCGGGTTTCTCCATCTTAGGGCAAAAGATGTTGGTCAGGCTGACCCTTGACCCCTGCTGGGTGGGCCTACATGGGGAGATATGAAGAAAAGCCACGTGGTAACAATTTCTCAGCTCTGGCTAGCCCTCAGGGGCCACATCTAGTCATTGGAAGTTGCTGAGGAGGTCACAGTCATCTCCAAGAGTCAAGATGGTCAGATGAAGGACTCTGAGAGATCTCTGATACTTCAGAACTATTTATTTTATAAAAATGTATTGACTTCCCAGGCAATCCACCATGAGCAAAACCAGGCATGGTGCCTGTCCTCAGAGAGTGCCCAGGCTGGTGGATGAGGTGGACAATCAACAGGTAAAGGAGCAAATGCATCCTGTATCAGGTACAGGTTAGTGTTGCCAGGTGCCCCTGCAGTGCATGGGTGAAGAGGGAGTGATGCAGGAGCTGTTTGAAATAAAGTGGTCAGAGAGGGGTTCTCCAGGAGGCATGCATTGGAGCAGAGGTGTTCCATGTGGCTGTCTGGGAGAGGGAAGACAGTATAGCAGTGGGAGGAAACAGCAAGTGCAAAGACCCTGAAGTGAGCCTTTGTTTAGCAAGTGGGAGGAACAGTGAGGCCAGTGCAAGTGGAACAGAATGAGTGAGGGGGAGAGGACAAGAGATGAAGCCAGAGAAGGGAATGAGGCTTTGGGCATACAGGGGTAGAGAACAAGACTATATACTTCCATCCAAATCCGCAAGGCTCTCACTGGAGATCACCTGCAGCCCTTGATGCCCAGGCCTATGCTTGTCTCTGCTCACTGATGGGGAGAGTGGGGAGTGCAGGTGAGTTAAGGAATATAGGAATGAAGCCTTATGAAGAGACAGGAATAAGCATCTGTAGGGTTGCCTAGGAGGATACTGCCACAGCCATCTGAACAAAAGAAGTCATTGGACCTAGAGCAGTAGGGGAGTCGTTGCCGATGGTGGGATTCTCAGGGCCTTTGCACACACTCTCCATCAGCCTGGTTTAATTTTCTCCCACCCCTTTCCTCCTCCACAATCACTACATGTCTCCACTTCTCAAGAGTCCCCACAACTTGCTGGGTGTCCCCATCTCTGTACTTATCACATCATCTTTTTTTCTCCAACCATCTCCCTTTCTGAGCACACATTCCTTGGGATGGGGACTGCGAATGGAAATTCCCAGACAGAAACCACACCTATGTCAAAGATTCTACAAGGCTGACTGGTTAGAACTTTTGATTTTTAGGGAGTTGGGCTGTCACAGATCCAGAGCTAAATTGTCTGGGCTATCTTTAGTCCCCTTAACAGTCATTCATTGCCTACCTCTGTGACCTAACATCCTTTTGACTATCAAGTGAAATATTTGGAATATATTCTAAGCAGACCATTAGCTTCTACCCACCTCAAAAGCCAAGAATGTCACTAAATAGCATTAAAAACCTCTAACACTGGGGCAGGGCAGATGGCTCAGCAATTAAGAGCACTGGCTGCTCTTACAAAGGACCCAAGTTTGAATCCTGGAACCCACATGGGAGCTAACAACTGTCCATAACTCCAGTTCCAGGGAATCCAACATCCTCTTCTGACCTCCGCAGGCATTGTACAACACAGGTGCACTTATAAACATTCAAGCAATACACTCATATAATAAATAAAATATTAAAAAACCTCTAACACAGTTTTCTCTGCCTTGCTATAACTCACCTACATGCAGTCCCCACCAATGTATTTGATAAATGGATTGATTTATGACTTCATTTTGTTCTGTAATAAAAGTCTGTCCACAATGGAGCAATCATTTGAGGCAAGCTGAATCTATGTTCCTGAGCCATGATCTCTCATAGTTGGCTCAGAATAAACTCCCTTATTCCCTTTGAGATGAGAGCTGGGGTTTGTATTGTTAGGTCCCTGCCTGTCCAGTTCACTGCTGTGTCTCCAGACCAAGAGTGGTACATGGTACACAGTGGTACTCAGCCAGTGATTATGAGATGAGTGGGGTGGCTTCCTAAAGCCTCATGTATGAAGGATGAACGTAGCCAGCTCAAGGTAACTAACTCCCTAGCCCACGAGGCAGGCAGATGAGTCCAGGCTGGACAGTCACATGGCTAATATATCACAGGGGTGATTTAAGCTCTAGGAGGGTGGACTTTTGTTCTTTCTTAAGCAAAAAACCTCTATCTGGAACACTGGACCTGTCCCTACCACTTTAGGGATATGGCTTCTAGGGCTTTGGTATTGGGGACCATAGCCAACAGGAACAGTGCTCCATTCATTCTCCTTAGAGGCCTTTCCTCCCATTTCTCCTTGGGAAGCATGTGGCCTCTCAGAGGAGTGAACCATCAGTGAGGTGATCAGCCAGAATTGTAACAAAGGCAGTGTCTCCCCAGGTTAGACTCCTAAGCCCGTCCTGGATGCTAGAGTTGAGGCCAGGGAAAGATACAGCATACCAGGCCCTGTGGATGAGGGGAAGAGAGCTGGATGAGACACTATGGAGGGTTTTGAGAAAGTTTGAACATGATGCAGTTTATCAGAGAGAGCCCCACTGGGGCTGATGGGAGGATGGGCTGAGAGGGACAAGCATACTGCAGTTGTTGGAGCTGTGCAAGGGGGTGGGAAGTTGTTCAGGGACAGAAGGATGATACTGGGCCCTTGAAGAGGCCACTGGCTGCAGCTGCACCAGGAGTGGGAGAGGAGGCAGCTCAGCGTCTCAATGTTCCAGGCAGCCTGGGTGGCTTCACCAGCTCTGGCCTATGGCCAGTCCAGGCACCCACGCCCTTGCTCCTGTCTTGCACATGGGGTGTGTGCTGGCCTGGGTGGTCCCTGGCTCCTCCTTCCACTTCCTTTGTGGGCTTGGCAGGTGGATGGGAGTCTTTTCTCTCCCCCTCTGACCCAGAGAAGAATCCTTCCCATTCATGGGATTCTCATGTGCCCTTGATTCATCCTCCCACATCCCTGGATAATGCAGAAATCTGATTCCCATTGGATAGATGAGGACATTGAGACCAGGAAAGGGGACCATCCTGAGGTCATGAAGCCAGATGGGGACACCAGATGGGAGCATGTCTCCAATTCCCCATGCCTAGATTTTCCCCAGGCAGGAGATGGCTCCATGGCTTGACTTGCAAAATCTTAGGTGACCCCAAAGAGAGTGCAAGCCCAGAATATTCCAGGCCTCCTGGAACT